CCCCTTTTTTCTGAGCATAATTTTGGAGGAAGAAAAGATCTTACATTCCATTCCATGTATACATGGGAGATCGCTCTCACTTCAAGAAAACTCAGCACACTGGGTCATGAAACCTGAATCAGAGCCCGTCATACAGATTTCCAAGGACTTCTCCCTTTTACACAGTAGAGAACTCTTCTGTCAGTCATCTGTTTAGAGAGTATCAAATAGTCGAAGAGCCAAAGAACAAAGAAAAAATCAAAGCCCTAGCATACACCGATCGACCCTCAGTTGAAGAACCGAAATTAAGCTACAGCCGCCTGGCAGCGCCGGCGGAGGCAGCGGGAAACAGCTTCCTCACAGCAGACGAGCTTCCGCCAGGTCTCCAAATACAGACGCTCCTCGACTGACGACGGCACTAGCTCCTGACAAACCCGTCATAAATCAAAAATGCATGTCCCACACCTCCCCTAGCCAACGTCACCGCAGAGCGCGGCCCACCTGAAGTGCGCCCCGAGCGCTCCCGTGAGCCAGCAGGTGTGCAGTCGGGAAACACGAAGCCTGTGTGACAGTACGGTGTCGAGTCGCTCCTGGACTGCACGGAACGCTGTCCTGAAGGTGACGGACGGGAGGGCGGTGGGGGCGTACCCAGTTGCCGCCCTGCTGACTGTTGACCCTCGTGATCGCACGGCTGCTGGGGGCTGCGGCCACCGGCCGGCATCACCGGGCAGGGTCAGACCGCGTAAGGCTAGCCCAGCAAGAGGTCCACGTCCTGAACCTGGACCACGGTTTCTACGAGTGTGTCGCTTTCCCACCATCGTAAGGTCGAAACATTGCAAGTCAAACTCCTGTAAGTTGGGGGCATCTTTATGGCTAAAAAGTAATTGCAAACAAACCCCCAAAACAAAGGTGCCTGGAAGATTCCCGCACACATCATTAAAACCCCAACCACCAGCCGTGTGGGTGCCTTTCCCTGAAACCCCGCAGTCATCCTGTACCAGCCAGGGACAAAGGCCAGCAGGGGCTCACTCACCACAGCTGCCCTCCCTTCCTGTGTGTCTCCATGACGTCTTAGGGGAGGAAAAGAAGTGGAAGGGCACACTTCGTCCCCGAAGGCCCCTTCTGAGGTCTGACCTCGGAGCAGTAGCTCTGGAGGGGACTTCCGCACTGTGTTCAGACAGGTGGCGCCGCATAAAAACAAACAGAACACACATGAGCTATCCCGAGGACCAGAACACTGAGAGCTGGAAATTCTTACCACCATCTAGAATCTACGTCCCCTGTATCCTCCGTCTCATTGTCTCTGAGATTCTGATGGGCTTCGTTCCCTTCTCCAAGCCCAGCAACACGGGACAGGTGTGGTCACTCAACCAGGACACTTCTAAATGCTGGAGCAAACAGCCCCCAAATTTCAGGGACTCAAAGCAGAAGCTTTGGTCCCACCCACGAGTGCAGCCAGCCACCCTGTAGGAGGCAGACTCTGTCCCCTCCAGCCTTTTGCTGGGCTGTCCCCAGGGCAGCAAAGACCTGTGAGTCCAGCCCGGAGACCCCACGTCCACTTGGAAGAGCCATATGACTGGCCCCAGCTAGCATGGGAGGAATGGAAGTGTGAGTCTCTGGACGGGATGCCAACTTCTACAGACATCTCTGTGCTGGGGAAGGAACCGCAAGAGAGTAAGAGGGTGACAGCCAGCACAGCCCTTGGAGAAGATGATTCCATAGCTATTTACGTGTTCAAAAAGGAGCCCGCCAGTGTGGCCCTGGCCGAGCGACGTCCCTGGGCCTCGGGCACTATGTCACTCCAACAACCCAGCTCTGTGTAGCACTGTCGGCGGGAGCCTCCAGCCACATGCTGTGTGTGCCTCTCGAGTCCTTGAAGTGAAGCCAGTCTGAGTCAAAACAGGCTAGAGATACACAGGATCTCAAGGACTTAACAGGAAAAAAAGAATAAAATACCTCATTCATAGTTTATTCAATTGACATATTTTGAAATAATATTTTGGATATGCTGGGTTAAGTAAAACTTGAAAAATTAATTTCACCTTAAAAAAATTTTTTTAAATGTGGCTTCTACAAGTTTTAGGATTACAGATGTGGTTCATGTTACATTTTGCAGAGGGACGATCTAGAGTAGCTAGCTCTTACATTTTAGAAAGTTCTGAAAACAATGAAGCTTAAAGGGAGTTTTTCTAAGTGTATCACACTATTTTGAGAAGATAAAGAAAAATAATGCAGTCCACCCCCAAAACCTTTTTTCCATTTGAATATAGTTGACACCTGATGTTACATTTATTTCAGGTGTGCAACACAGTGACTTCCAAGTCTATCCAGAGTGCTGTGCTCACCACAGGTGTAGCTCCCATCTGTCCCCACATGGCCCTGTCACACCACCACTGACCATACTCCCTCTGCTGTGCCTTTCATCCCTGTGACACGTCCATCCGTAACTAGAAGCCAGTCTCTCCCACCTTTCACCCACTGTGCCCATCCCTCCAACCCCTTTCCCTCGGGCAGCCGTCAGTGTGTTCTCTGTACTTACAGGTCTGTGTCTGCTTTTTGTTCTTGTTTTTTAGATTCCACATATGCGTGAGATCATGTGGTATTTGTCTTGCTCTGTCTGACTTATTGCACTGAGGATAATACCCTCTAGGTCCATCTCTGTTGTCACAAATCACACAATCTCATCATTTTTATGGTCGTCTAATATTCCTCTGTGTGTGTGTGTGTATACACCACATCTTATCCATTTATCTATGGATGGACACGTTGCTTGTTTCCATATCTTGGCTATTATAAACAATGCTATAATAAACATAAACAATACATATATCTTTTCAAATTAGGGTTTTCTGGGCAAATATCTGGTATTGAACTATTAGATCATATGGTAGTTCCAATTTTTTGAGAAATCTCTATACTGTTTTCCACAATGGCTGTCCCAGTCTACATCCCCACCAGCAGTGCATGAGCGTTCTTCCCCAAAACTCTTTAATAAAAACCATTCACTCTGCCCCCACCCAACGCCCTAGCTGTTTCCAGTCTTTTCTCAAGATTTTCTCAACTAAGATTGCCTTTTGTCTGGTAATCCAGATCTTTAAAACCTAACTGAAAACCATGAAACTATTCTTCCTTCCAAGCCTAGCAAAGGAGAATGACTTCTGGACTCTTGAAGCCCTTTGTAATCACAAAATCACTTTTCTATCTAGGCATTGTTCCCAACATGTTTGTTCCTGGGAACTCACACAGGACTTATGGCAAGATGGACAAACCATCCAAAACCTGTATTACTGTAACCAAGACACTAACAAAACAATAACTGTCTTAATAAAACCCCTACTAAAGATTTAGACATGTTAAATTTCTAACAAGCCAATAATTGTAGAACTGTTCCCTTTCTGAAAAGAAGTGGTGGAAAAACCAGGGAGAATCACACAGTAAATATTTCCAAATCAGAACACAGACCAAAACAGTCTGGGGGAGGAATAGAGAGAGAAGGATATCATGTTAAACTACTTTGCAGTTAGCAACTGTGGCTTCTACAGGATGGAGGCACGTTCCATTTTACTAATCAGACGCCAGCGAATTCTCCCACCAGTCCATGCGCTGTAGCAGGAGGGTCTGTAGAAATCTTGCCTCACCCTGGCGATTTCCGCTGCTTGTCTCAGGAGGTGACGACAACCATCCCACAACCTGCTAAATCGTTTGCCTAAGATCACTGTGTTTTTCTAAATCCTTTTGTATCAAAAGTGTAGTACTTTATTAACCGAGCAGGGTGAGTTAGAGAACTCTATTTAAGGACAGTGCTTTCAAGGCAAACTTCTTTAAAGTTTGAGATAAAAGTAATATGCTGCCTCCATTGTGGTAGACTGGCAAGGGAAACAATGTAAAATAAATCCTAAACATCTGTTCTGTAGCAAGGGGCCATACAATTATCCATAAATCAATTACCTCCCATAAGGAGGTTTTTAAGGTCCTTGGGCAATGGGAGTTTTCAAATTATTATTTTAGGGTTTGGTGAGAAAAACAGAATGAATAAACTAGTTTAGAAGAAGGGGATAATCTTTTTTTTTTTTTTAAATGGTCACGCGAAGATGATAGTTCATAATCTGCAACCACCTTGGGAAGACAGCTGGCCAGCAAAGGGACGGGAAGAGCGCTGGTTCCAATGGCCAGGCAAGCAGGGTACCGTGGTCACACGCAGTGAGCGCCCTGCTTACAGATTAGAATAGATGCTGCCAGGGTGCCTGGGGGGCTCAGTGGGTTAAAGCCTCTGCCTTCGGCTCAAGTCATGATCTCAGGGTCCTGGGATCAAGTCCCGCATCGGGCTCTCTGCTCAGCGGGGTGTCTGCTTCTCCCTCTCCCTCTGCCTGCCTCTCTGCCTTCTTGTGATCTCTCTCTCTCTCTCTCTCTCTGTGTCAAATAAATAAATGAAATCTTAAAAAAAAAAAAAAAGATGCTCCCAGAGCAGGGTGGTAATGGGATGAATTTTGTGCAGTTCTAATTCCTTTCTCCTCTCCACTTCTTCCCCCCCCCCTTTTTTTAAAATTTTATTTATTTGACAGAGATCACAAGGAGGCAGAGAGGCAGGCAGAGAGAGAGAGGGGGAAGCAGACTCCCTGCTGAGCAGACAGCCCGATGCGGGACTTGATCCCAGGACCCTGAGATCATGACTTGAGCCTCAGGCAGAGGCTTTAACCCACTGAGCCCCCCAGGCGCCCCTCCTTTTCCCTTTTATTAGCTCTCAACTTTTGATTACAATGTATTCCTTGTTAACAACCACCAAGACTTAAACCAGGTGGGCATGTAGATAGAAAGAATCTCTTTCTATCAGCTATCTGGACATGGCTTTATTAGGTAAATATCCACATGTCTGTTTCCCCAAAAAGTCTTATTCCAAGGTAGAGACCTGAGGAAAGTTAGTAAAAAAGGTGGTCAGGACCCAAGAAGGCGCTTCCTTTGCACCTACAGGTAGAGGTCGCCATCTGGGCCTGTTAGTGCACTGCCTCCCGTGTCCTTTCCAGTTCACAGAGATCAGTCACCGCCTACTGTGCTCCTACAGCACAAACATAGAGGACCTCTTCTGGGAAATCGACCACTGCCTGGCCATAAACCGAAGTGTTCTTCAGCAGCTGGAGGACAGGTGCGGCCACGAGCTCACAGACGAAGACTGGGAAAAGATCCAGATCCAGGTAGGCATGGGTCACTAACTGGAAGCAGCAGAGCCCCCCAGGAGTCTGGGTGACATTAGAGGGAAGACTTGGGGCCTGTGGTGCCGAGCTTTCTGCCCCGGCTGTGCCTGTACCCTGAGCATTTGCCGTCCAGTCTGGGGTGAGGTTAAGGCCCTTCCATTGGAAACTGCTTTGATGACGCCTTTTTGTGAATAATGAAAACACCAAAGGGAAGACTGCCCCACATCTTAGCTTCCTTGTTTTCCTTCAAGCCCTAGGCTGCCCTCCTCTGACATCTGTAGTAGCCCTGGGAGAAAGGGAGACTCAGAATTCAACAGAGGAAAAACTTACTTAGAAAATCATTAAAATGTGAAAATTTATCAAGAAGTTTGGAAGTTGTATAGGGTCAAGAATTTTGAAAAAGACCACTTTTTGTTGCTTAACTAAAAGGAGATCTATACCATTAATGTCCAGCATCTTATACAGTATTTTTGTTTTAAAACTGCTAATCACAAGCAGGTTACTCTCCCTTCCCATCTTCCGCGAGACTAACAGTGCGCGTATAACTGGTGCCGTCGTAACATGGGATGAGACTTTGTTTCTAGAAGTCCGTGTCTCTTGGTACACAGTTCTCACTTAAATTTAGGAAGTTCCCCATTACGACAGAGCTATGACCTGCACAACAACTCATGTGCTCTCCTGTGTTGCAGGCTCTGCACCGGGAGTCCTATGAGTGTCCCATCTGCCTCACCCCGCTCCCAGCCAGCGCTGACGGTCACCAGGACCCATGCGAGACACGCTGCAGCCAGTCTTCCCGGGAGACAGTCCTCCTCTCCTGCTCACATGTGTTCCACCACACGTGTCTCCTTGCTCTGGAGGAGTTCTCCTTGGGGGACAGTTCTCCTTTCCACGTTTGTCCCCTCTGCCGCTCTGGCTATCAGAAGAAAATTCTTGAATGTTGAATTCACAGTTCCTGGGCAGCACTGGGGGAGAGGGATTTACCTCAATTTTCTAAAAACTGTATGAGTTTTGGGTGAAGTACTACAGTGTAATCTGCTCTCTAATGAAATAGACTCTTAGTAGTTGTACATAGGGACCCTATGTATATTTTAAAAGCTGACAGCATACCCAATTTTAGTCTTTAGTTTATAAAAATTTCAAATTGATGAGTTTAGTCAGTTGAAATAAGGGAGGAATGGGTAAAAACTTGAGGTTCAGAGGTTCTATCATTTAGTGACTCGCTATGCTTCTAGTTGATCGGTTTGGACTACTCCAAACAGTGCAGTCACTCCCCTGCTCTCACAGTCGTCTGATTAAGTGGCTCTGTTTCCACATGGTTCTGACTGGCAGCAGGTAGCCCTGCCAGGATGGTCACGGCACGCTGGTCCCAGGCTCACCAGGGTACACATGGTTACTTCGATCGAGCTAGTGTCTGAGCAACAAGCTGGTAACTAAAAACACTCTTCCAGCTGCGTTCGGCCCCTGCCGTGCCTAGTTATTTGTTTTGTAGTAACTGCTTTATTTCCATGTGATAACTTACCATCATATTTCAGCATTTCAAATATGTAAACCCAAAGTATAAAAATAAAATATTCAGTGGTATTCATCAGCAGAAGCTGGTAAATCACATTTTCATGACTTGGAGCCACACTACTGCAGCTTGTACAGGAAGAAGAAATCCATGAAACTGCTTTGCTCAGAAGCATCTGACCCTGGTGTACTCTTCCTGGGGGCTTGGTTGTTTATGTTAACAAGTACAGTCGTACAGATCAGGTGCCTGGCTGCCGTCGCAGGTAAGGCCCCCATTTCAGTGGCTTACAGAGAACCCTGTTCTTTCTGAACCCCACAGAAAGGGTGGGGTGAGGGCTGAGGGGCTGAGGGGCTGCTCCACGTGGCCTCTGGCTCCCAGGCTCCTCCTGAGTCTGTGGATGTTCTCGTCGCTGGGGAAGAGCAGGCCAAGATGTTTCGTGGCCCACGTGCGGGCAAACAGGCGCACAGCCCCGCAGCCACAGCTAACTATGGGACAGAGACAGGGCGTGAGAACACAGGGCGAAAAAGATGCAGGTCACCAAGCCCAGGTATGTACATGTCAAGGGTGTAGGACAATCCTGGTGTCTTATGGAAAGAAATAAAATATGTGTTCCTATGTTTTTAATCTCATCCTTTTGGTATGTTTTATTTCTAAAAAGCTGTATACAAACATATCACTTATGAATAAATACACATATATTGGGCTGTGCTCAAACATTTTTTAAATGATGGAGTATCCCATTGCAAAATTTAGACAAGAAAAATTTGTTCAAAATTTGTTACAGTCATCCCCCTCATCCATAGGAGACGTGTTCCAAGACACCCCCCATGGATCCAGGAAATGGCATACGGGGACCAAACCTTATTTTTCAACTACATTTTCTCCTACACATACACACAATTTAATTCATAAATTAGGCTGCAGTAAGAAATTAACAATAGTAATAAACAGAACATACTCTAATAAAAGTCATGGGAATGTGGTCTCTCTCTCAAAATACCTTACTACGCTGTACTCACCCTTCTGGTGATGTTGAAGCTGGAGGGTAAAATGCCCGCACGGCAAGATTGAGTGCGGCGAACGATGTCGGCCCCGGGACGCAGCATCAGGTTACTACTGGTCTTCTGATGACCTGGCAGGAGAATCGTCTGCCCAGGACCGTGGGAAGCGGGACTGTGGAAGGGGGTGGTGAGCGTAGGCGTGGGGGACAGCCGTAACTCGGAGACTGCTCTAAATAAGGAATAAGCACTTCTACCCTGAGACAGCAGATGGAAGCTGCGCACAGGCCTCAGGCTTCCGTTCAGAAGGCCAATGAGGCAGACGCGTCTCTCTCTCTCTCTCTGTGCCCCAACAGAACAGAGCCATGGGACCAATGCCAGGGCAGTCTGATTCCACTGCCCCAATCTTGGAAGCTGGAGGGAGAGTCCACATTTGCATGGGTCTTTGAGTGACAGAGTCCACTGAGGACTGCGTGTGGCCATATCCCAACATGTTCCTGGGGATGATGACCTGGGTCTTGCTGCCCAGACTCCCTGCAGGCCTGCCTACCTTCTGACCCCATTTCTCAAGCTTTCCCACTGACCTCTGTGCTGCTCCATATCCTTCCAGTAAACTTTTTCCTGTGTATGTGGGCAGAATCCATTTCTGCTCTACACAACCGAGTACTTTACTTGACGTAGAATTAGTGAGTTGTAGGCAGCAAAGTCAGGGAAATCAGTGGGGATGGCATCTGGAATTGGTCCTTACTGGGGATGAGGGCAGTGAAAATCTCGTGAGTGCTCAGGGGTGAGTCTCGGGCAGCTGTGACAATCAATGTCAAATCAGGTCACTTTCTTATTAAAAAAACTTCTGGAATGGCATTCCCATCAAAGGCTTGGGGAGACCCAACTCTTGACCACAGGATAATAAATGAGGACTTCGGCGGAGTAGCTGCTTCTCTGGGCAGCTTGACGATGATGACACATTTTCAGGTCAAGTCACAAAACCCATGCATACTTCTGTACGATTATAGCACAGCCTCAGGTCTCTTGTATAAAAACTAGGTCACTGACCAAGAAAAAGTTGGGGTCCCAAGAAGTGGGCATCAGTGGAGGATGTGAGAAAGGAAAATTCTGTGATTCTACTGAAATCCATCATCGTAATCATGTTCACATTGCCGTCGTTGGGTACTCGGCTTATCACCATGCTGATGAGTAAACTCCTAGGACAGGGAATAGGGCTTATGAGTCCTGTCGCTGGAACAGCGCTTGCTGCGACAAGCACCTGCCTCCCGTTTGCTGGACATGGGCTGGTGGCCTGCAGTGGGCTCGGCTGGGCTTGGCTCCAAACTGTGAGTTAGATCCAGGTACGTTCCCTGAGCTTTGTGAATTTGGTTTCTGGCACCTGCAACCAAAGAGTTCTGATGAGTACAAGAAAGCACAAACTCAGGCGGAACCAAAGAAGAGAAAGCAACAAGAGTGCAAACGAAAAGGGGAAGGAAGGAGGCCGAGCTACACGTCACAAACACCCACGTGCACTTGCTTTAGGAGCAATGCCCGCTCGGTTCTGAGCTCCCTAGTCGTGGACCCAAAAGGGACACTCATGTCTGTTACACTTGCATCATGTCCATGAGTAAAAAATAAGGCAAGTGTTCAGGAAAGAATGACTACTCTTTTTTTTTTTTTTTTTTAAATAAGTGTTTCCTTTCTTCTGTTCTTTGAATTGGTAATTGGGAAGGCCTTGGAGGAGCCGCCTACAGATGGCATTTCAAGAGGATCAGCTGTGAGGAGTTAGTGAGCTGACATCCTCCTGCCACCGCCCCTTCGGATCTGTGTGAGCTCGTGGCGGCCAGGCTTCCAGGCTGCACCTTAGCACCACGGGGGTCCAGACCTGACCGCGGGGGAGCCCGCCGTTCACACGTACATATTCTCACCTCATGGGCAACCACTGCTCGTCCTCAGACATGACTTTTACCATAAAGACAAAATTAAATGACACAATAAAATGGTGCCCACTTAGGCGTCCCTTCAGATATGCAGTGGTGAGTTTCATGGGACAGATTTTGTAAAATGTCCCTCTGTATGCTGGCCACAGCACTGCCAACCACAGCGGCTTCTGTGACGCTCGCTCTGGTGCAGCCTGCTGGGGTGCTCCCTGTAGAGCATCTGGCCGGCCCGTCTGGAATGCGTGTAAGGGCGCACTGACCGTGCGCGTCACGGAGTCTCATGGGAAATCACCTCTAGTGCTATTTTGACACATATTGCTGAAGTTTCAAATTTACTTCCTAGTAAGTCCCAGGACTGTTTGCTTCTTCCATACAAGACAATCTGCACGTAAATGGACAGACCTGAATAGACAACAGATGTGCAAAACAGTTAACCACTGTCCGGAAAAGCGGGAAGCCCATGAAGTGCGCCTGCGGACGGAGCCGCCCGGACCCCTCTGAGGCGAGCCACCAGCAGCGCCAGAATTTCCACTTAAATTAAATGAATGACACAGCATAGGGAATACAGTCAATGATATGATGGTGACAGACGGTAGCTAACGTTGTGTACCCGAAACTATGACTCTGTGTGTCAACTATATGCAAAAAAAATGTCAACAAAAATACAAATAAATAAACAATGGGTGGGTCGGATTTCTTATTCTAGCAAACTGGGCAAACTCAAATGCCTTCTGCAACCAAGCAGGTAACGGGTTAGCAAAGAAAGCAGTTGTTTGCCAGGTTTCCAAAATATGGGACTTAATGTTGCCAGATTCTCTACTACTTCAAAAGCATACCTCCCAGTTAAAAATGCTTACTCTCTTGACACCAACAGCAATATGGCGCTGGCATAAAAACAGGTCAGTGAAACAGACAGCCCAGAAACAAACCCATACATATAAGGTCAATTAATTTATGACAAAGGAGCCAAGAATATGCAATGGGGAAAGGACATTCTCTTCAACAAACGTTGCTGGGAACCTGGACAGCCGTATGCAGACGACCGGAACTGGGCCACTATCTCACCACACACACAAGTCAACTCAAAATGGATTACATACTTGAACCTAACACCTGAAACCATAAAACTCCTAGAGGAACACACGGTGGTAAGCTCTTGGACATCAGTCTTGGTGATGACTTTTTGGATTTGACACCAACAGCAAAGGCAACAAGAGCAAAAGTAAACAAGCAGGACCGCATCAAACAGAAGCTTCTGCACAGCAAACAAAACCAAAACCAAAACCAAACCGAAAAAACCCAAAAAATAAAAAACAAAAAAAACCCCGCAACAAAATGAAAAGGCAACCTACTGAATGGGACAAAATGTTTGCATGTCACATACCTGCTGAGGGATTAATATCCAAATAGATAAAGGACTCATACAACCTCACAGCAAACCAAACAGTCCCATTTAAAAATGGTTCTATCCGAGCAGACATCTTCCCAAGGACACACAGACAGCCGAC